AGGGATAGGAGACATACCATGCATAGTTTCTTCGTTCATACCAACCTCACTGTTTTGTGATTACCCTATTGTTAGGAAGAAAGCTCTGTTGACCAAACCATGGCAGTATAATCAATCCATATAATTGTATTTTATGTAAAAGGGATGCCAGTAACAGATTGTATAGCATTAAATGTTTTGATGATAATGAATAATGAATTTGGAAGGAATCAAGCATGGGTCTTATTTCAGGTAGCTATTTCTTTTGCTTTAGGAAGTAAGGAAAACTCTGGAAAAAGCTCTAGGATTGTCAGTGTCCCTTAAGCATTATTGCTTGAGTTCGCTTGCTCCATTCCATATAGTTTGGCAGATATACCACAACCAGATTCCAAGCAGTGAAGTACTGGTACCATAATTATATCATTTAGTGTAAAGGAAATGCTCTCAACAGCACTTTGCTTAATCTAGTCTGTGTATGTAGAGATTGTATAGTCTTATTATTTGAAGGGACTTATATAAATCAGTTTACGAAATTCAAATATACTTTACTATTGCTTCATTATATTTTTGTGATAGGCACAAGGCATAGATGACATGGTGGTTTAGCAATACAAATGAGTAAATGAAGCATCATATATAATTAGGACCATCATAGTTTATACTCTTCATGAAGATTTATCTTAATTAAATTGAGGTTGAGGTGGGTGAGGTAAGTAACATATTTTAAAATATATGGAACACACAAGGAAAACCAAGGTTATTGGCAATAGTATTTTTTAGTATATCTATTTCTTCCCTCAATTATTTTCATATAAGTTAAATATATTGCCTTCATGAAGTATAAATTTCAGGTTGAAACATGTATCAGTAAACAACATTTTTTTCAACATTTGTTTGTAAGTTTAATGTCTTTATTTGATAAAGTATTTGATCTTCAACCACAAGGTTGGACTGAAGACTGCCCATATTGAGAAATAAATATTACTGAACTTCACATATAACACATTTTATATTTATTTATTTATGGGGATAACAACAAGTTATCTGTGGTGTACTGTACAGAGTAGAGCAGTGTAATGTGTTATGTCTTTCACATCCAACTTCCCAGAGTCATGGAAGATGGATGTGAATTTTGTGTTGATAGAAACTCCTGTTCAGCTTCTGACATATCAGGTATGTTGAATTTCTTGGTATACTCAGTGACATGAAATAATTAAATCGTTTTGTTTCTCAGGAAGATTTTCATACATCAAACAGTTTCATAACTTCATGAAATCTGTGTACATTCAGCTATTTTAACCTAATAATGCTTAATTAATTGATAGTGTAAAAGAATGACTTTCTGGAATTGTTATTGAACCTAATTGAATATAATTCATATCAACTTTAATGCTAAATACACAATCATTTTTAGTCTTAAAGCTTCCTGTTCAGTATTTAGTATTTTAGTATTGATAACTTTGATCATGCTCATTAGTTATTGCATAATATCAAAAGTAAAGTGAAATCTTAATTACTCGATTCTGTGGAGGAGTCTAGATTTGAGAAATAGGCTGAGGAACTTTAACATTCAAGATACTGAACACTAAAGAATGATTCCTTTCAGCTTACTTTCCCTACTTTACAAGGAAAGATAGTCTTGTATTGTTATATGTGTACATCTGTCTCCACTAACAACTGAACCCAGGACAGATTTTCAGGAAAGCTGATATGAACACTATGCCATTAGAAACTACCAAACTTTGTATTTCAATTTGCTACCACTTGTAATACCAGCCTGTTTGCCTTGTAGTCATTTCAACTTCTGAGGTGGATGGTAGTATAAATCCTTGGCAGCGTGCAAGGTAACAAGACAGAAAGTAGCATGTAGGCACAGAAAATATCACAACAAGGAAAGTCATAATTTGTATTCTTAACTAAATATTGAGTGATCAAATCAAGGAAGATGAGATGGGACAGTCATATACCATGTTGTGAGCAATGAGAAATTCTGGTTTGAAGACTTGAAGGGGAGAAAGAGACCATTAGGGAGACATAGGCAAAGCTTGGAGGGCGTGACAGATGGATCTTAAGGAAATATGGAGTGAAGGTATGGATTGGATTTGTCATGCTCAGGATAGTGTCCTGTGATGGGACCTTATTAAAATGGTAGTGAACCTGGTCTATAAGAGACAATGTGGATGAATGACTATTAGCTTCTTGAAAAACGGCTGCTCTGTGGTGTTAGTCGTTCATGATAGCTATGAATCATAGATGCTGGCCTATGAAATTTCATACGAAAATACTGCAGGAGACAGTACTTTAACTTATTCAAAGGTACAAAGACTTCTTTCAGTAAGTCATATAGGTGGTCAAGAACAGAACAGAACTACAGAACGGACAGGTTCATCTCCATCATCACAAAAGCCCTTAATATGAACCCACTGAATTCAGTTTACATCTTCATAACCAACAGGGCTGGATTTGCAATTGTGGAATTCCCTCTCAGCAACAACAAATTTAGGTTGACAATTTTTTTTTGTTCTAATTTCTTATATTAACTAGAAATGTCTCAGTAGAATCCGTGGCTTGTATTTATTTTTTGTGGAGGCCCCAGTGTGAGCACCCCGGTCACTCCCCCGTAAATTTGATCCTGATAATCACGTGTTCCAAAAATTTGGCTGTAACAGATTCACTGTTAACCCCTTGCATGACAGGTTAAAGTTTACTGCCTGCTATTGCTGATCTCACCAAGTGACAGGATGCGGTGTCCATATGTGTAATTTTACTTCTTGCTAGAGATGTCACTTAGATGCAGAGATGGCCACACCATAGCTCAAGTGGTTAGTCGCTGGCTTCCCACCGCAGCGGCCCGGGTTTGATCCTGGGTCTTGGCAAGTGGGATATGTGATGGACAAAGTGGCACTGGGACAGGTTTTCTCAGAGTACTTTGGTTTCCCCTGCCAATCTTCGTTCCACCAATTGCTCCACAATCACCCTCACCTATCATCTGGGGCTGGTACAATAGGCCAGAAGTGACCACAGTACAAGTCCCACCCCACTAGCAATAATAATAATAAAAAAAAATAGATGCAGAGAAATGTTGGTTATAGTTAGTCAAAGCTTGAAAGAGCTAATATATATATATATAAAACTGCCAGTTGTTTCCACCTCCTCTGCCAGTTAATTTCAAAAAATTTCAGTAAAAGTAAAGGTTAATCTGTCCATGCATTCTTGACCTTGGCACTAGCTGGAGTTCTGTTGCCAGTTTCACTCCCTGGCCACCTTATTCCTGTGAAAACAGGCACTGGATATGAGATGGGAGGGGCCCCAGATGCTGGATGCTGCAGAGAAAATAAAATCTCTTGTACCTGCCATGAACTGAACACTGATTCTTTGGTTCTCCAGCCCATAGCCTTGTAATTGCACTGACTTGGATGTAGCATAAGTTCATAATTCCAGACTTCATGCAAAGATTGCTTTCCCAGAAGGTAAAATCCCAATATTGAGCACAGAAGTGAATGTATTAATGTCCCTCCATCTGTGTCTTCATCTCTTTTCATGTCTTGCAAACAAAGGTTTGTGTACTCTTCTTATATCTGCTCTGAGTTAAACCCACTCAGCCTGATAGTACTAAGCAAAGAATATAGATTTTTACTTTTTATTTTTACACAGCTTCCTCCATTATATTACTAGGTCCAAACACATTATTTTCCTCAGCAAAATATAGCAATCCCTTCTTTTTCACTTTGCTTCTGAATGATGGCAGTAAATGATTTATGTCATGTTCAATAGAGCCTTATAATTTTATTTGAATTCACACACAATTATAATCCACTTATATACAATTAGTACATCACATTGCTTCCAAGCACTGATAAAACTGAAAATACAAAACAGGTTACACAGAAAAACACGTGGCTTTTCAACTACCACATGACACACAAGTGCAAAGAATAAAGAATCGTGAATTCTGTCTTATCTCTTACTATTGTGCAAAAGTAATACACACATATTTATGTATCAGCACATTGAAAGTAACTTTGCAAAATAACTTTCTGATATTCATGTCTTCTGGAGAGATACACTCCTGTAGGTTATGGACATATATTGAATATAAACAGTCTATAAAAATTGCATAAATTAGACATTGCCTTAGAACATGACAAATACTGGTTATAGACTACATGCATTATGTTCAATTAAAATTGACATAAAATTTCAAGAAAATCTATTTTGCCAAAATATATATATTTTTTGTGCAGACATACACACTGACATCTGTAGGCGCCTCAAGCTGTCAGTATACAAGTCTAAAAACTACAGATGAATTATTTTGTTTTTGAACTTGAAGAACAGCAGTAACAGTAATAAATATGAGGGTGACTGTAATAAGGTGGAGATAAGGGTCCTGTGCTAGTGGACAGTTTAACCTTTTAAAGTTTCGTAATAATGTCCAGTATGCATTAATGACGAGACAAAATCAGTTACTCTGTAACTATATAGGTATGAAATACCTCATTTGAACCAATTATATATACATGCCTGTTCCTTCAGAAGTTACAACATAAGAACTACACAAGTTAATACATGATCACAGTCTTATCCTATTTCACGCCATTTACCATTTTGATCCCTGGGTTACTCACCAGCAGGTTATAATGTTATGGTATGCAGGCAGGAGCAACTCACCCATTGGTCACATGGATTACAAACAGAGGGAGTGTGAGCCCACTGAGCATTCCAGAAATATATATTTCAGCTTACTTACTTCTTATAGAAGTGCAGTTTCATCATATCTCAACCTCATAGACAAGCAGCAGGCACTGTAATTAGTCTGAAAGGATATTGGAATATCTAACATTCCAGAATTTGTGACATGTGGGGTAAGCCAGATGAATAGAATTGTTATAACATGCAATGTCAATCCCTGTAACAGGCTGTGAAGGCCCATGAGGTTGTGAAACATTGAGGCTTCCACACTTTCTAGAATATTGGCTCACCATCATCTGTCAGCTAATTGTCTAGAAAATGTGACAGCCACAATGTCTCACAACCCTATGGATCTCCATGACCTGTTACAGGGATAGATCTACCTTTTTTTTTCTTCTTTGCAATGTCAATAGGGAAATGCAACCTGTTTTGAAGGACACTTCATAACACAATGTCCCTTTCTTTGGTGTACTGTAGTAATTAAAAAACTATTCTATGACTTATCTTCAGAACACTATATACAATGTAACAGATTTTATGATGGCATCATATGGAAGTGAAAGCATCTTTCTTAGAAATACTTCTAATTATAGTAGATTCCAATGTCTCTATGAATTTTAGCAATAGTTTACATGTCTGTTTTCAACAGAAGCTTTTTAAATTAGCTTTTTCTCTTTAAAGTAAACTAATCATACAAATACAGCTGTTGGTAACTGCATACAGGACATTCCCCAGATGATGAAAATAAAAAAACAACAACATAAACTTGAACATGGGTTCAGATACCTTCTAACTGTCATGCGAAAGCAAACTTGTTATGAAAAGTTTACAATACTGTACACTGGATATATAATATTGCACAAAATAGATACATTTTCATCTCCACTGCATAAATTGTTATTTATAAAAATCTACAATAGAAAAAACAGTGAAAGAGATGAAAGGAAATAGTTTACTTGATTCTCAGTTTTTTTTTAAGTGTTTTATAATCAAAGAAATATTCTGTGGGCAAATTGGTCATTTCTGTATTTCTCAGCCAATACAGTATGCCAGTATTTACAGCTGTAAATGACAGCACTTTTTAAAATGAGTATTTTATACTCTTCGAACACTAGCAGATTAAAAATTATGGCTGTAACTGGGAAATCTTTCTGAAACGTGTCTTTTTTACTCTTTAAAATCTTAAGAGATACAATTTCAGCCATGATTTGTGCTATGAGAACTGCAAAAGAGATATATATGTTTTGATTGAAACATAAACATTTGAGCAGTTCACACCTGTGGAAGTTTAATTTGTTTCAGTTTGTGTTTAAAGTAGTCATCTCTGTTTCTTATGATTGTATTATTCTAGTGACAATTTTATTACATACCTACATTTACTCATAGTGCCATCAACATTCACTTCACTTATTCTTTCCTTACCTTTACTTTATTTCTGTTCCTATTTGCCGGAATCCTTCCAATTTACATTTGAAAGAAGAAAGTCACATTAACCAACCAATGTATTATAATAATTGTATTAGTTTCTGTCAGCGTAATGTCTTACATACGCACACTTCACATTAAAATTTCCTATATGTTTCAGCGTTTTGGCCATCATCCTATACTGTGCATTGGCCAATGTTTACATTTGATATGTGAACATGTATTATGCACATACAAAAATTGTGTAAATACTCGTAGAAACAAATACAACTGAAATACAACACAATGCGACATTATGATCTAATGTTTTTAATGTGTTATGACATTTTAATATCTCATCAAAACACAAAAAATCTCAAGTTTGTATATTTCATTTTTCTGAGGTTCATTATGAACATACAGAAGACTCCTGGTTATCTGGTATCCAAGAATCTGTTATACAGAAACAAATCTCCAGTGTGCCTATATGCACTGCCATGAGGTAGTTCTGCCAGCTGCCACTGGAAGTGTTACCTGTTCTCTTCCCTCATACAGTGTAATTACCATAGATGATACTTGAATTAGTGATCACATTACTATGTATGTATCAGAAATCTTTTACATATCAATCTGCTCTGATGCCTAGGAAGATGCCCACAGAAGAACTAAAGTAAAAATGTTTTGTCTTGTCTGTGTACTGGGTTTATGTAAGAGTATTTCTCATGCAAGAGGCAGATGCATGTTACTGGTGCATCCCTTTTCCAATACATGCCAAAAACATGTAGTTTGCTGCATACACTCAAATTCTGTTCACTTTTTTTTTTGAATCCTTACTTCCAACACAATGTTTAGAAATGAAGCCCAATTTCAATTCCTTACATACATGATATTATGAGATGTATGTATTCCATTTTATTTACTGAATAGAGCATGACAATATTACACTCATAAGAACTCAAACTATCAGAGAAAATTGCTAATAAAATTGGTAGGCCTCTATCTAATTTCCAAGTGCACAGTGAGGATATAAATCTATTTCAATTACTCGTGTGAGGGTGAGTAAACTGTAGCATGCAATGGGTTATATTTATGCTATGGAGTGGTTCCCAACAGAACCTGTTGACTACCCTTAGAATACAGCTGAATTAGTAATTTTTTAATAGTCTACTGTTAGAAATGAAACCACCCTCCATTAAGTTGTTATGAAATACACTAATATCTCTGAATTGTAAACTTTATTAGGCTCCAAGATGAGCTACAGTCAGAAGTTTGTCTTCAAATTTATTTGCCAAGTGCCAAATTTACTCACATATCATTTGCACATTTCATGGATTATATTTGGTAGCTGAAACATGATATCTATATTATTTCAGGAGTTACAATGTTAACACATTAATATCTATCATTGAAATACTGACATTGCTGCAAGTTTGTAATTCTTGCTCTTCAAGCATGAACAATCCAGAATACCAGTTCAAACTAAAATATTCCATGGACATGTTCATAAGCATGAAACATAAATAACTTACAGTGAATGTGAAGTTTAATCACTGTACAGGAAAAATAATTTATTCTGATTATGCAGATAAATATATCCCAATATTGGAATGAAACTTGTTACATCAGTTATGTTATGAGCATTCATGATAAAGCTGATGGTTACACTTGAGAACTGCTGGTGGACACTTTACCCATGTGCTCTGCTACAGGATGTAGTTACAATGGTGAAAATATTTTTTTACATTTGTTTACCAGTTTAATTATTTTTATTTATATCAATACATTATACTTGATTGCTTTCGTCTATAAAATTCATTTATACAATTTTATGGTTATAAGAATTTGTATCATTTCCTACTGATAACCGGAAATGTTTTCACAATTTTGTTATCAGATATAAGATCTTTTTTGACGAAATACTATATATAATTTGGTGCTAAGAAAAGAATATTTAAAATGTAATTTTGCATCATTAACCAGAATATTTACCACTTTTTTATCTTTTGTTTTGGAAACAAAATACCAAATAGTTTTGTCTATCAGTAACACTTTAGACTTGTATTTTGGAGGTGCTCAGTTTGAATCTCAGATGGGATTCTTGATATCCTGACTGAGGCTTTTATGGTTCCCCTCAGTTCCTCTAGGCAAATGCTGGGATAGTACCTTGATTACGCCGTAACCACTCCCTTCCAAATCACTTCCAATTTTATCAATCTTCCTATCATCTAACACTGTATAGTCTCATTAAAAATGTACACCTTACATGAAAGGGTGTGTGACATGCTGATTTCCAGTAATTATTTCCTTAAGATATGTTTTGTATAAGAGAAAATAAGTTACAATACAAACAAAAGCAATTAATAATTTCATGATATAAAATTAATATTTAAAAATGGTCTACTGCATTACAAACTAGGACTGTTGCAAAACATTTCTTGTTTTACTTTGTGTTTTGGAAACATGGTGCACACATCATGTCAGGCCATGTTGTGTACAAATAAATATGATATTCTGTGGTGGTGAATGTCATTTTGTTTTTACAGTTTCTGTAAAACTTACATAGTAAAAGAAGTAAATTACTCTGATTTATATATCTGGAATATAGGCCTGCAGATTCTCTCCAAGCATACAAAGGGACTGGTTATTAAGTTCCATCATCCACTCAGTTCTGGTAGTGCCCTCTTTGTAGTGTTCAGCAACATATAATGTCATACTACAATTTACTGTCTGCCACTTCACCTGGATCTTCCAGTGCTGCCTTCCTGTCACTTATAGCCTTGAGCAATTTCTTTCTTGGTCCCATACTAAGGCCAAGCGACTTCAAGTCATCCTCTGTGAGAAGCATCAGGGCTTGCAAGTCTATTTGTTCACTGACAAAGCAGTTCACATACTCACTAAGTCCTGCAGACATCAGGAATAATTGCAGGGGTGACCACTGTGGGGGACTGCCACTGGCATCATCTTCATCTGGAATTGCAAATATGTATAATTAAAATGTTTCAGTCTGAATTAATAAATAGATGATTGGATGGATGAGTAAGTGTATTAATAATCAAGAAATTCTGGGAAGAACTAATCGCCTAATTTCCTGGGTCTTGGCAACAAGCCCCTTGAGACCCACAAGCAGTAATTTAATTTTCCAACTGAACACTTGTGGTCATAGCCCTTATGTAACATCCTCTCTGATGAGAGGACGGGTCTGTCACTTACAACTCTTGCTGGTCCTTGTTGGCGCAGTCATTCTCAGGTCCAAGTCCCACGGAACCCATGACCACATTTTACTATCTCAGATTCAAGATTTCCCCAACCTGGAGGGCCAGGTCCCCATATTTGTATCCCCCACGAACAGGGTGGCCCGGTTATACCCCCAGGCACTGGGTTCCCTTTTAATCGCCTCCTGCGACTCACAGGGCTATGGTGGGCTGCATGGAAAACACCACGTCTAACAGCGCTTCTGTTGTTGCATATGCAACTCAACCACTGCCTATGAAAGGGCTGTCACTTCTGGCTCCACTATTCCAGCTTTCAGGTATGAGGGGAGGACAGACAGACAACAAGGTGATCTCATAAACCTCCTGAAAGTAAGCTAACTAATGAATGCATTCATACTAAATCTTGGACTATCATTTATCTGACACTAATCTCTGGTACTGTATTGAATTGTACTGACACAGGAGGACAACGTTTTCAGTCACACGAACCCCTCAGACTATTAATCCGTGTTCAGACCAGCTAGCTAGCTTGTAGGAAAACAGTGCGGATTCTTATTTGAAGATTGCAGACAGGATTTACAATGACATCACAATAATAGCACAATCTTAGAGAATTAATATTAAAACAATATATTATTACGTACTACTGGGTCACTTATATTCACCGCAGACACAATGGCTCTGTATTTTTGGTTACCTGTCTTAATGATTGTTACTATGTGGAAGTGTTTAAATTGTAATCTTTATGGTTCAACTTACATTGCCTATAACACACAAGCTAAAGGGGAAGAGACAAAAAGTTCAGACTTAATTTAAATCTAATATTTGTGGACAGTTTGGGATTTAGTGAAATCAATCTGTTTCATAACAGTGTCAGTAATGTCATATTTTGATGATATATTCTGGTCAATAAATTTTATTTCAATCTGTGCTGTTTCACCAACACTCAAACATACAGATAATCGAAAAAAGTTAATTTTATTGATGAAATACTCTATATAGATCTGCAGAATTAATATGAGACTTAGCAATGACAGTTGAATTTAATGTAAAAAGAGTATATTAATAAGTTGGTCCTGAAGGGCACTGTATGGATTACACTGACTTACCACTCTCAACATCCTCGTCATCCCACGGCAGTCCCTGTGTGTTGTGTTGGTTGCGTTTTGCAAGACTGCCAGCACTACCTATACTGCAGTCTTCTGTCCCACTGCCCCCTCCTCCCTTGTCGCTGTTTGATGTCACAGTGCTTACCTTGTCATCTGTTCTGGGCAGAGCACTCAAAGTCGCACTGATGCTGTTCCTGTAAAAGAGACCAGTCATTAAAGATTAGAAACAGAAATCAGATCAGGGAAGACCAAATCCAGCAAAGAAGCCTTTCTATTCTTTGGTGAACGTTTTTCCACTGATTTACACCATCTTCATGCTGACGGTTGCAGTAATAATACAACTGACTTGAATTTTCACCAGGAATCAGCTATTCTGATGCTGGTTTTGATGTCAAGATTCTCTGTATTCTTTCTAGGCAAATGATCTTAAAATTGCCCATAATTACATCTACCAACATCTGTTATTCCTTTTTATTTCTTATATAATCTGATGATGTATGACCTCAATAGTTCAAAATTTCTATAAATGCTGCCATAGAGATACAGCAGCGCCATTCTTAACTTCAGCTCTAAATGGAGGTGAGTGGTCAGCTTCATGGCCCTGCTGCTTTACTCCTGCAGAGAGTCCCAGTACTCATTCGTAAGAGGCTGAGTCTGGACATTATGGAGAAGTGAGCAGAGAAAATTCCATAATGAGGAACTTCATAATTTGTGCTCCTCAAAAATAATATTATGGTGGAAAAATCAAGGAGGACGAGAAGGACAGAGCATGTAGCTCAGTATAGTACCTAGGTTATGGGCTGTGGAATTAGGTTTGATTCTTGGTGCATCCAGATCAGCTTCAGGACTCACCAAGTCTCCTACTGAATGATACCTGGGGCTCTTTCCCCAGGGCTAAAGCAGAAAGGGGGACTAAAGCTGATCATTCACCTCCATCTATTGCTGAGGTTAGGAATGCATGAAGCTCTATTTTCACTCCCTGCTAAATCTTCATGGTGTGGTTTTTAATTAAGTACATAAAAACTGATTTCATTTTGTGGTTTCCATTGCCAAGAGTTCGTAAATGGCTGTCTGAGACATTGTGTGAAACATAATAACAGCTTCCTTATGGCTGACCGTGTGACTCTTACCTAAAGGCCACACTTCCAAACCCAGGTCTGTCGAATATACTGGCAGGTTCTTGTAGCAACACTTCATCCCCAAAGCCACTGTCAGTGTTATGCAGGAAGTCAGGTTCCGACGTGGAGCGGCTCAGTTCACCCTGAGTGTCAAACACGTCCCCAATCTTCCCTCGTTGCTTTCCTGTTCATTCAATATATTTACTTTCTTCCAGCACAGAAGCAACTTAAGTACCTAAATATCATGATGAAGGACAACAACTGGGGAATGCATACCAGAATTTAGATGAAAAACTTGGAATACCCAAGCATAAACAAGAGTATAATATTAAAGTGAATCTTGAAGAATTAGGATCAGGATATGGATCTCGTTCAGAATGGGGATTAGTGATGGGCTACTCTGGATATGGGAATGAACCCTCATATTAAAAAAGAGAGAGAAATTAACTTGCAAATTTACTATTAGCTTCTCAAGAATTACTCCACTGAGATAGTTAGTTGTTCTGTTAATTAAGAAGACAGTCTGTGTGAAATAAGGTCAGCTAGTCCAAATAGATCAAATATGTAGATCAGATGGGAGAGACAAGGAATGATTATATAATACTGGTCAGAAGAATTTGGAAAGTGACCACTTGGGCATCTCTGAGGGATGGATGGGAGGTGAATAGAACTTGCTCAGAATTAAAGACTATTGTATTAACGATGTTAACCTTCAGGTTCTATTACCATAGATTCAGGTAATTAATTCATTTCATATTACAATCTTGTTACTAATTCCAGTTGTACTGTTATCATGTAACAGTTTTAACTGGATTTGGTTCAATTATGTTTTTCTTGTTACAGAAAACTGAAACTGGTGATAAGCATTACCTCCTGCCTGAGTTTCATATGAACCAGCATACAGGACCTCTGAATCACGACGCAGACCTGTCAGACTCCGCACAGAGCGTTTGCCGTCCATCTCAACCTAGGAGGAAAATGTAGTGAGTTTTAATTTACCACACTCTGAAGCTCTTCTGTTACTCAAGTAACAACTGAAGCAGCACAATTCATGATAGTTTTTCACACAAAATGTCAAACTAAACTTGACTGCATGGGTTCTTGGAGTTCATGTGTCTGCCATACAAACCCAGAGTTTTCTTACCCAGTTTTAGTCTACTTTCCCTTTTTAAGGAAAAAGATTGGACTCATGAAGTTATCATGTTGTATGTGTTTCTGTGTGTGAATGTATGTCCATTTAAACTTTTGCACAAGTTGACTGATTGTCACAAAACTTGGTAAGAACATTATGCCACTGGTGCACACCCTGAGCTCATACCTTTCTTTTAATTATGAGCAGTATCAACAGTGTGGCATGAATGGAAACTACCACTATTTAACATGGGGTTTCAAAATGATTACAGAGTACTTTTCATTTTTGTAGAATGTACCAAAAAGAACATAACATGATGGCTGCTTGAAATTTATATCTCACTTTTGATCTGACAGCAATAACTAAAGAAATACTGGAAAAACAGCGTAAGCCTTAAGGGTAAAGAGTAAGCAGAAGACACAGAAGGTCCTGAAAATAGGACTTTGAGCCTCCTAAAGGCCTTCCTTGCCTAATGTGTAAAGGAATATGATTTACCTGTCCTATTTTGAAGTCACCTGCTCCTTGCCTGTTGTTTGCAGCTGGCAGGTGAGTCTTATTCATTTTCTGGATCAGCTTCTTCTGCACACCAGTGACCCCTAACTTCTTCCCTCCACTTATCAGGGTTCCTGCTCCTCCCCCACTGACAATCTCAGAGAACCGAGGACTTGGGTTTCCATTTGTATTTGAAAACCCAGGGTTCTTTTTCGCTTTCAGCTTCAAAATTGTCAGCACATTTGATGGCCTGAAAGTGCACATATATGAATTAAGTAAGGGAAAACCAATAATAGCAGAAGCTTCTCTTTTACATGATATTGACTCAGTTCAATCTATTTCACGTCATTACAATTTTATTCCCTGAGAATAGTTCTAATATTGTTCTACCTCATTCTTCTCAGTTTTAACCATGTCATTTCCTAAGATGTTTCCCATCAAAATTCTGTATTCATCTTTTTATCCAACCATGATCTTTCTATAATTTTCTTCAAGCCCAAAAACTGAAATTTGCTTCCAATGTTCTTGAAATTGCATTAGAATTAAGTCAGAAGCAACATGATTTGTGAAAGCTGACTGAAGATGAGGGGCAAATTTGACATGCAGAATATCTGTCATAATAGGTTCTGGGGTACATTTAGAATCATGGGCACACTTTCCTGAATGACGTGGTATAAACTGTATTAACATTCCCCCTTTTAGGAGCAGGTGAAATCATTCATATCTACATAAAATTTAAAGTGGGGTTTCTCAGTACTTACTTTCTGTAAAGAGTTCTATCTTCTGGGATATGATGCTATGTAGTCCACTGAAAGTCAAACAACGTTTCACAGAAGTGTCTTTCATCCATCTTCAATGCGAAAGAATAAGCCAAGTAAGAGACCAGCATGAAGGAGGTAGAATTGCTGGTTTCTTGTATGGCTTATTCTTTTGACCTTTCAGATGGAGGTGACATGTTTCTCCACAGCATTATACCCCAGAAGCTAGAACTCTTCATAACCACTGCTGTGGGAACCTCAAATCCTACTTGGCTTCTGTAAGTTCACACTTAAAGGTAAAGTTGTCCCTGTGCTTAACTAATTAAGCACTACATCATGAAGGTGTATGGAGGAGTGGATGTCTACATCCACAATTTCTTGACCTCAGCACTAGTTAGATGTGAGTGGTCAGCTTCACGGCCTGGCTGCTTTACCCCAGGGAAAGAGCCCCAGGTACCCATTGGATAGGAGGCTGGGTGAACCCCAGAGCTGGTCTGGACAACGTGGAGAAGTGAAAATTCTTGAGCCTACCAGGACTCAAACTCCAACCCCTTGGTCGTCCAGCCTGTAGCCAGACGCTACATTGATTACACCTTACTCTTTAAAATACCTCATATCTATACATTTCCATCAATCAGAATTGATTCTTCTCAAACTGCAATCTTTCCCTACATAGGATAAGTGTGAAACACCCAGAGAGAATAGGAATTAGTATTTCAGGTGGGACAAACACTAAGTAAAACAAGTGTGGACTGCCTCAGTGCCAATCTCACCTTTCTGTGGTACACATTGTCATAGACAAGGCTCTGGTGACTCTGGTGACAAAGTCATGCTAATATAATAATCATCAAATGTGGAGAAAGTACCACCATCTCACCCAAGAGGAATGGAATTGTTCCAGCATAATCATCATATCTGGTGTTCAGTAAACAATACTACCAAAATTTAAGTTCAGTTAGTTTAAATTTCTTATTTAAGTTTTCATTGGTTTAATTAGACAGAGATCATTAACAGACTTTTTATACCCAGTAATCAAAGAGCAAATACAAAACATTTCTTCTTATTTCATTGGGTTTCTGCTGTATGAACAATCACACGTCCATGCAGTGTTCAGTGTCACAAGTTTCTGTGCAGAGGGAATAACATTATACTCCATTTTATACCTGTGTGGCATAACAGGTACATCTTCAGGTCTGTTCAGCATCTTTTCTCGTTCCTTCCTTAGCCGATTCTGTTCCTTTTCAGCCAGTCTTTCTGCTTTCTGCTTCATCTTCTCATAGTTCTTATTTCTCTTCTCTGCATCCTTCTGTGCCTTTTCCTTCAATGCCTTTGTTTTCTTTCTGCAGACACAATGAGGAGAAAGATTATAAAGTTAATATGAAGTTTTATTAAACAGAACTGTGAAGATATTTTTATACCTTCTCACTAATGCTGGAAGTGGGGGGTTCACACTTACTGCTGGTAAGGATGGAGAGGCCCATTATTTTAACTTGCCCCATGATTCAGGATTATTCTTTAGATGCTGACAGCTCTTCAGCTGGTCNACACCCCCCCCCCCAATTTATAAACGTGAAGTTTCATTATCCTTTTAAAAAGAATCCACAACTGGACCTTGTGGTCAGTCAGTCGAAAACAGCTTGCAATCTCTCATGCTGTACTTTTAATTTCCATTGTAATATTATCCTGAATTAGTCTGTCTCCCCCAAGTGGTTTCTTCCCACCAGGTTTACTTACTTACTCATGGACCTGAGCCCTTCTGGAGGAGCTGCCAATTCTGCAGCTACTCAAGAATTTCCCAGCATTTTATGGAACCTGAAGGTTCATCACCGTGTTCACAAGAGCCCTCCACTGGTCCCTATCCTGAGCCAGATCTATCCAATCCATAACATCCCATGCTCTCTCTCTCTAAGATCCATTCTAATATTGTCCACCCACCTATGCCTTGGTCTTCCCTGTGGTCTCTTTCTTTCTGGCTTTCCCACCAATATCCTATACACATTCCTCGTCTCCCTCATTCGTGCTACATGACCTGCCCACCTCATCCTCCTTGACTTGATCATTCTAATTCTACTTGGAGAAGAGTACAAGTTATGAAGCTCCTCATTATGCAGTTTTCTCCAACCTCCTGTCACTTCATCTCTCTTCGGTCCAAATATTCTCCTCAACACCCTGTTCTCAAACACCCTCAGTCTATGTTCCTCCCTTAATTTCAGAGACCAAGTTTCACACCCATACAGAACCACAGGCAAAATTATAGTTTTGTATATTCTAATTTTTATGTTTTTGGACAACTAGTGACAGAAATTTTGCATTCCCCTTTTGTCTTGCTCATGCATGCATGTCCTTTTCATTTCATCATCCTCACAGCGTTTTGAACAATACAAATTACAAAGCACCTCACTGTGTAACTTTCTTCATCCTTCAACTTTCTACCTCTCTTAGTTCCAAATACTCTCACATGTACCCTGTTCTTGAGCACTCTAAACTGATGTTCCTTATGTTGTTCCCTTAACATGAGAGACAGAGCTTCATGTTCAAAAAGGTAAAATGTTAGCTTTATACATTTTAATCTTTTACCCTTTTAGATGTTGCTGCTCCTGATGATAGAGTTAAATCTAAAACACTGTCTTACTATATCTGGTTTGTTTCTCATGTTGTTAATAATGAGGTTGTTAACAAGGTGAGAAATAAACCAAATATACTCAGATGGTGATTAACATCTTACTCCAATAGAGACAGCACAGACTAACACCAAAATAAATTAACTGGTTAGTAAAATGTACATTAAAGTGCTTTAGAATTATCTTTATTGCTTACTGAATTTACAAAAATTGCTCATAATGAGACCCTCCAGGTTCAATGCACAACTCACAATGCTGTGATACCGTTCTACAAACTATATTTTTTTATTGCTAGTGGGGTGGGACTAAGTCCCTTGTAATGCGGCAGCTTCTGGCCTATTGTACTAGCCCCAGATGATAGGTGAGGGTGACTGTGGAGCAATTGGTGGAATAAAGCTTGGCAGGGGAAACCGAAGTACTCGGAGAAAATCTGCCCCAGCGCCACTTTGTCCACCACAAATCCCACTTGACCAGACCCCGGGATCGAACCCGGGTCGTCACGGTGGGAAGCCAGTGACTAACCGCCTGAGCTATGGTGCGGCCATCCTACAAACTAACTGGCAGATTAAAATCTGAACATTCTCGTTAATATTAGAGAATCTTTTAGTTTAACTGACTTTTGGGCCACTCTGTACATTGAAAAAAAATGAACCCTACCGAAATATTTCTTGCCCCTGCCGGGAATCAAACCCACGCTGTCCAGCCTGTCGACCGTCGCTATACCTACTTCTATATATATAATAATGTGACGTGTATACCCACTGTTAGGCGACGACTCGGTAAACACATTCCTGCGGAAACCAACGAGTGCAGCAACGAATCAGTAAACATGCCTCCTTAATAATACAGGCTGCGTTTTCTGCGTGGTCCGTGCGAAATGGTTATAAGGAAGTGTTCAGCAGCATAGAGCAGCCGAGTAGAGCCGGGATATGAGCTTGGAAGCAGTTGCAGAATAATGACAATAAAAAAATTAGACTGTGAAAACAAGATTTCATATGTGATTGAAGTTACAATGAGACTGTGATGCATTCGTTGCCAGGATACGACTAGTGAAGACTGAGAATCCTCGTGTGTGTGCAGCGATGAACTGTAAGGTGTGTAAACCAGCGATAGCAGTGCATTGCCTGTAGTCCCGAGTTGTGAATATAAGGTGCAATAGATCCAATCATCCTATCCAGAATCCGTCTGTAGTCACCCCTACACGTGACAATAACAATAACAGTAGCAACAACAGCGATGACGATGCATTAGGGCGCGTGTGTCAGTGACCGCTACTCACTTGTTCGAAGCCTCTTCCTTGGCCGCCACGCCGTCCAGGAAGCGCAGAATGTCATCTCTGCTGTTCATGGCAGCCAACTCTTTGGGCGTATGGAAGTCGATGTCCAGCGCCCACAGGTTGGCGCCGAAGTTGACGAGAAAAGTGACGCACGATGTGTGTCCGCGCGCCGCCGCGAAGTGCAGCGCCGTGTTGCCGAAGTGATCTGCCTTGTCGGGGTCGCCCCTGTGTACAAAAGCAGTTACGTTTTTACACAAATTAATCTCTTAGGGTACATTTGTAGCTGATACCGCAGGAGTCAAACAAGATGGCGGGTTGTATGTCGCGCCGAGAGAAGAAGAGCTAAGCGGTTGCAATGTTACCAGAACTTTACGCTTCTAAGACATGCTTCGGCAGTGCTTACATGCGGCTGTTTAACAACAGGCGCAGATGTCGCCTCGTGCTTGAAATATAGCTAAAAACGTAAAGCTATCGCTGTAGAAGGCCGTGGAGGCCAATAAGTATTTTTTATTGCTAGTGGGGTGGGACTACGTCCCTTGTACTGCAGCCACTTCTGGCCTATTGTACCAGCCCCAGATGATAGGTGAGGGTGATTGTGGGGCAGTTGGCGGAATGAAGTTTGGCAGGGGAAACTGAAGTACTCGGAGAAACCCTGCCCCAGCGCCACTTTGTCCACCACAAATCCCACTTGACCAGACCCGGGATCGAACCCGGGCCGCCGCTGTGGGAAGCCAGCGACTAACTGCTTGAGCTATGGCGCGGCCCAGGCCAATAAGTTTGTGACATCTAGAGGCTCTCACATTTTTTCTATACAATCGGCTCACAGTTGGTGGTGAGTGAGCTTAATTGTAAGCCTGATTGAGGACTCTAGCCCACAGCAACCAGGTGTTTCGCAGATACGAGCCTATCTAAATTTTAATTAAACACAATAAGTAAATAAAATCACAACATAATTCCCGTACTCGCATAATCCACCCAGACAGACATTTTGTCTAGGACCATCGTCCCTGGCCTGTTTCAAGGTGTTACTGAGGTTCGGTCAGATCTCTGGGCCTCAGCAAGTAAGCCTATGCTGTACCCCCATTTGCTCTTGTTTCCTTCTCTTTTGGGTTGCTGTTTATTTCAGAGGTTTTGTTATTTGCTGCATAGGCGTCTGGCGTGCCAGGGTTCGTATCAGGAACTGGCCTCTATTTGTGTAGGTGCTTCAGTTCTACAGACACTGTAACACCTGGTTACCTGCCATAACACAACGGAAACTACTGGGCTTTGTTTGGAGCAAGTAATGCAAAACAAACAAAAAAAAAATCACGTGCTCTCCACGAACGTTGACATCGGAGGTAGGACCCATTTGTCACATTCGAGAGCTGATCACATGGAACAAATCGCCGAACAAGTGGTAACGCTTCCGAATTGTATTCGAGAAATGCCTGGTTCGAATATCGGAAGGAATGCAGAATTTTTGTACTCTCTAAGAGAGCAATCGCGCCGTTAACTACGACATAAATAAACACATGGACCTAAGTTCCTTAAGATTATTTATTATCTTCTTATCTCCATGATTTATGCTGACCGTCTTACAGTGCACACACTTTTTCGCCTTACTCTTCTCTTTTGCACTACATGTTTCAGCACTAATGTGCCATCTTCAGGTGCGTTTTCTCTATGCACGTCTAACTACTGCATTGCATGCCCTGATGTCTTCATGCTAAAATAACTAAAATATATATTCGTCATGTATAATAATAAATTTTAGATATTAAAACTTTTCGGGATTCGTCATCCTTACGTCGTATCTCAATACGCGAATCACGCCAATCCTCCTCTGTGGGAGCACTCTTCCTACATTCGTGTGTGTATTGTGCTCTGTGTTGGGTCTTGCCCCTCTGACTGCGTGCCTTATACTCTTCTTATCATTGTTTATTTCTAAATCTACTTCTTGCTTTGTTGACCGCATCTGTGGTCTAGTGGTCAGAGTTTCTGGCTACAGATCCAGAGGTCCGGGTTCGATTCCCGGCGCTACCAGATTTTCTGAGAAGTAGTGGGTCTGGAACGGGGTCCACTCAGCCTCGTGACGATAATTGAAGAACTATTTCAAAGAAATAGCGGCTCCGGTCTAGAAAACCGAAATTAACGACCGCGGGCATCTGTTGCGCTGACCATGCGATTCCCTCTATCCGCAAAACTTCGGCACTAACTTCGGCGACAAGCGGCGGTCGCTCGGTCGGTATAGTTCGTTTGGGGACTACAGGCCACGAAGTTGTTTTTGTTTTTTTTTATAAGATCACCTTGTTGTCTGTATCCATTTGTGTTTGTCTGTGTCTGTCCATTTGTCTGTGTATCCTCCCCCCTAACTTTTTAGACATGTGGGATCACCTCGCTGTCTGCCTGCTTACCCGTCTGTGATGTTCCCCCCCCCCTAATTTTTAAGACGTATGAGATTATCTGGCTGGCTGTCTGTGTATTCCCCCTAATCTCTTCTATTTCTATGCGATCCGTGTCGCATCAAATGGAAGTAAGCAATTAGTTCTTCCAACACCTTCTTGTTATACTTTACTTACCTTCCCCTCCCCCTTCTATCATCTCTTCCTTCCTCTGTTATCTTCTATTCGTGTTAAGAACGTTTACATGAATCTCTTTCAGTCACACAGTGGACATATCATATAGCGGTGTTTCCACTGGACTGCCACAACTAAAAATACGGAAACTTTACGTGGGAAGTTAACCAGTGCATGAAAACAGCAAGGTAAAGCTGCCCCTATGCCTAATTAAGGCCATGGAGATCTATCCCTGTGTTTAATTACGTCACACGCCGTGAAAACTCATATCGGAGTGGGGGTATAATTGACGCATTCTTAACCTAGAAACGAAAGTAGACGGAGGCGTGTGGTTAGCTTGGAACTTCTGCCGTTTTACCCCCGGGGAAAGAGTCCCCGGTACCATTTAATAGAAACGAATGTTTTTATAAGGCTTTATTACTGTATGAATGTTTAATTATGAATTAACTGCTCCTAGTCTCTCGTCCGCTTCTCGAGGCCCGTTTCTCATGTTCCAGCCCGGGAAATGTTCTAATTACGGACAGTGTAACGCATAACGATTGCCGATCACAGTGGCCGCGCAGTCTAAGGTATGAACCGTCTTCGCCCTCTCGAACACTGCGATCATGGGTTCGAATACCATTCGAGGCATGGATGTCTGTGTGTAGGTAGAGGCCTTGCGACGGGCTGATTCCCCGTCTAAGGAGTCCTACCGACTGTGTATAGGATTCAGAAACTGAAAAACGGCCAAGGCCCGACAAACGACTGTACAGCCATGGACAGATAAAGCATAACGATTGGGACTTGATACTGACACTGTTATCTTCGAGCAGTCACATCCTTGCGATAACATCTGACTTTATGTACAGTGCTCAGAACATATGTACTCTGAAGATTCTGCAAAACTTTTCCCACCGAGCGGACTGGTGTGGCGGTAACAATATAGCCTCGTATTGAGGACGTGAGTTCGAATGTCGGCCAAATATTTTGAATGGTTTTACTCAGTCCTTTCAGGAAAATGTCGGATAGTACCTCGATTAAGCCAAAGACACTTCCTTCCAAATCCTTTCTAATTCATTTGTAATCTGTTATCTTGCAATTCGACTCTGTATACTGTAGTTAATAAAAGAGTTACCAAAATAACTCACAAAAAACGTCAAGTGGGATTTGTGGTGGACAAAGTGGCGCTGGGGCGGGTTTTCTCCGAGTACTTCGGTTTCCCCTACCAATCTTCATTCCACCAAATTCTCCATCATAATCACCCGGGGCAGGCTACAATAGGCCAATCAGTGGCCGCCGTGCCGAGTGGACCCAGTTGGACTCCAAACCCCCATAAGCGAATTAAAAAACCATACAAAAAAGGACTTATCATGAAGATGAATGCTGACAAAATTACAAGTATGACTTTCCGAGGAACGGAACGAATAGAATCAAGATATGCGGTAATGATAGGGCACTGGAATATATTAATAATTTTAATTATTTAACGAGACAAACATTTAATGTGAAAATTGCACACAGTGTGAAAATACAGTGCTAGGAAGTATACCTCGCATATCTTCAAACGATCATTGGTTTCGCGGCATCCAAGAATATGATTGCCACATTAACATCATGTCGCGCTGCAGAAGCACGAAATTAAGACATGATGAAGGAAGACACGAACACATTTCGTTGCGGGGGGGGGCGAGGTTAACGCTTCCGGACCGTGAAAGAAAGAAAGAATTTATGAAAAAAACTAAAATTTTACAAGTAACACGATTTATAGAACAGTACACAAGCAACCGGAAAGACCACGCTGACAATATGGCAAAACAAGGATTTCTGGGATAAACTAATCGCCTATTTTCCTTCGATGCGACACGGACCGCATAGAAGATGTCGCATCAAACAGTTCTTCTATTGTTGCGTATTTGTTGCCGCGGTAACGTTTTTACTAAGCCGTTGCCTAATAACGACAAGGCGATACAAATACAGACACACAGAACTTATGACAGGGATTTATGAAGTACGCCGTTGGGATGGACTCGGGTGCTATGATGTACGTACCAAGTTTCATAAAGATTGGTTCAGGCAGTCAAATGTTGATAGAGGGGACATACAGACACACAGATTAAACGAGATCGCATGAGCTTACTTTTATTTTGTCAAAATAAGGAAAGGAGGCTAAAGTGTCTTAAAAAAATCAACCAGAAGGAAAAGTGAGTTCGGGAAGACCTCTGAAATAATGGGAGGATTATGTTTTGTAATGTTCGTAACACTATGTTATGTGGGTCCCTGTCACCATGGCATGGCGCGTCCTCAGGTTGCGGATGGAGGAGACGGCCTCAAGATATGGAGGGAAGCTGGGAATATATTGAATAAGCAGTCGCGGACAGCCAACAAGGAGTGGTTTTCCAGCTCTGTGGTTGGGCGTGGGACTAACAACTCCTCACCATAAAAAAAAAATAGGCTTGTTAGGAAAGATCACAAGAAACAACGGACCTGGATGCATTCCCTGGATAAACGACCTAAGCTAATGAAAATGGATATGAGATTTGGTACTTGGAATGTTAGAAGCAGGTACAGGGCAAGTTCGTTCAGGGCAGTGGCGGAAGAAATCTCAAAATATAAGTTAGATGTAGCGGGAGTACAGGACGCTTCTCCAAGTATAATTAGAAGGATCAAGGAGGATGAGATGGGCAGGGCATG